TAGAGGCTTCAACTAACCATAAACGAGAAGTCACACAAGCATGCAGGCACAGAATATCAAAGCTTCTACGCGACTCTGGCAGCAATTTTATGGATATACATGGCGTAGCACAAGTTTGACTGGTGGGCAACCATGAGCGTCAATTATATGTCTGAACTTGGACGCATATTCGATGTCTTGGACCCACATTGCGATACTTTACAACATTTATCATTTATATATTTACAATTTTACATATTTACTACTACTACTACTACTACTACTACTAATAATAATAATAATAATAATAATAATAATAATAATAATAATAATATCTGCGGTTTTATCATCCGAAAAGCACGACATAAGTATGATATGATCATTGGGTCAACAGTCGAGTATGCGTTGCGTTTAAAACATTTTTTATTTTAGGGAGGCTAGGGAGGGGGAGGGGGCAGGCAAAACTTTTTTTGGGGGGGAGGGGGGCTACTGCACCTCGTCCACCCTCTCCACTGGCACTGCCCCTGCTTTGAGTGTATATTTGGTTATTATCTCTTTGTTTCAGCATCGAGTGCATGGAAAGCGCTATTTCTTTTCTGTGTAAGACGTAAAACGCGAGGGAGGCCATTGCGGCGCTTTTCCTTGCAGATGGTGCGACCGGCGACAGTGTTATGCGCCTATTTATATTTTAAGCAAAGAGCAGACGAGCGCCAAACATTTCACGCCAATAGTGAATGGTACATGTTGGACGACTTGCCCTTTTCTATAATCAGATTCGGCCGTGACGTGTAGTGATTCGAATTTCGTCATATTTTTTTGTCACTGATTGCTTCAGTATAACGCAATAGCGCAATCTCATTTTCTGCACTCCCAGCACGTTCGGTTCGAAAGTCGACTACGGTTATCGCAAATTACGTGCAGTTATTTTTAGTACTACAATAGGGGGGTGTATAAATTTGATGGGCTACAACTTTTCAATACAAACAACTGCGCTCAAGTTGACGGTTACAAAGCTCATTAGAGATTTTTGCTAATTACCCTTTTCACTACAACTTTACAAGACCAAAGTATTTCCGCTTCGACGCACAGTTTGCTTAGGTGGCAGGTGACTTACGTTCACAGTGTTTTTGTAAAAAAAAAAAAACTGTCCCAGCTAAAAAAACGAAAAAAGACACCCAGTGTAACTTCCACATACCACCTAGCTCCATAATCTACAAACTTGTTTTTTTTTTAATTTACGGGCTACGGCATATTTGGACAAGAAAGGCCCACCATCTGCCACCATCCTGAGTGCCGATGAGGCAGTCACTAAATACAAAATGCTCGCGTGGAAATTTCATAACATTATGCAGCGCACTTCTACCGAAAGAAAGTGTCATTATAGTGAAATTAACATAGGATTTGAACGCAGCATACTTCTAACCGATTGAATTCCGAGAGCCGTTTTGTTCAGCTTTATAATAAAACAGAAATCATGATTGATTGATTTGATTGATTTGTGGGGTTTAACGTCTCAAAACCACTATTTGATTATGAGAGACGCCGTAGTGGAGGGCTCCGAAAATTTTGACCACCTGGGGTTCCTTTAACGTGCACCCAAATCTGAGTACACGGGCCTACAACAATTCCACCTCCATCGGAAATGCAGCCGCCACAGCCGGGATTAAAACAGAAATCAGAGAGCGCATTAAGTTGGTGCCCTCTACACAAAATCATCAAATTGAACGGTGGTCCATTTAACCGTGTGTATAATTTCAGGTATCTGACTTCAGATGCTATTAAGACAAAATAGAGCATTATGCATACAGAGCTGTGGGCGTAGAGAGGCCAAAGCATGTCTACGCATGTAAAGCTACTCAGAGATACTTAGAGGCGAGATTACACAATTACAGGTGAGACCAAACTTTGCAGGTAGGATCACGTGGTGACACCGTAGTGAAAGATCAGCGCATCTGTGTATCTTGGCTTTTATGCGCACGTTTTCAGCATACTTCGTTTTTATTTTTTGGCTTCTCCCTTTGCAGACCTCATTTATATGTGTCTATTGCTGAAGTATTTCGTTAAGTATTGTATTCATCTTCATTTAACTATTTTCGCTTTATTTTATCTATGCCCCGCCACGGTGGTCTTGTGGTTAAGGTACTCGGCTGCTAACCCGCAGGTCGCGGAATCAAATCCCGGCTGTGGCGGCTGCATTTCCGATGGAGGCGGAAATGTTGTAGGCCCGTGTACTCAGATTTGGGTGCACGTTAAAGAACCCCAGGTGGTCGAAATTTCCGGAGCCCTCCACTACGGCGTCTCTCATAATCATATGGTGGTTTTGGGACGTTAAACCCCACAAATCAAATCAATTTATTTTATCGACCATATCAGTCACATGCAAGGTCATGCAAGATTGAGTCAGCTACGCCAGCGCAAGCTCCTCTACACACGTGATTGCTGCAAGCGTACACGCCATAAATGCTTTTTATAGCACGTGCGAGTGGTAATACCGTTTTTATTACTGATATACCTAATATATTCATGTTTTTTTTTGCTGGGATAATAATTTCCTACTTTCCACAAGAACGATTAACATTAGGTCCTTTTTGGTTTTCTCCAACTCCCAAACATAACTAATTTTATGTTGTTAATTAGTTACTCAAACAAATAAATGAAAGCAGTGGTAGCAAAGAAAAGAAAAGTAAGACGAACAAGTGCATTGCTTGCACATTATTTGTCCGAAGGCAATGTTTGGAATCAGTTGTGTCTTTATCTCAAATTTTACTCCGTATATCAGCGCGCAGTGCAATGGCAAAGGCGCAGCGATGGTGCAAAATGTGTTTCTGATATACGAAACGTCCGACAACTTCACACATGGCCCATTTTCACAGACGCCATTTATTTTTTTCCTGCGTTTCTGTTTTTAGTGTACTGTGCGAGAGGGCATCATATATCTGAGCCCGCCGCGGTGCTCTAATGATTATGGAGCTTGATTGCTGACCCGCAGGTCGGAGGATCGAATCCCGACAGCGGCAGCCACATTTTTGATGGAGGCGGAAATGCTGCAGGCTCTTGTACTCAGATTTAGTTACACGCTAAAAAATGCCCAGGTGGTGGGAATTTCTGGAGCCCTCCAGCACGACGTCTCTCATAATCATATCGTGGTTTTGTGACGCTAAACCCTAACTATCGATTGACTGGCATCATTTCTGACACAGCAACCATGCAATACTGAAAAAAACAATAGGTCTCCAATTTCAGCTTTTTCTCCGTATCAAGCTAGCACGCTGCCGATAGGTGTCTGCCGATGTTTGCAACTGCTGACGTGAGGCGGCAACGCCGCGCACCAAAGACGGCTCGAATCGAGATAAGAGAGCCGTATAAAACGGTACGAATCGGACCTGGGACACATAAGCCCACGGCTCCTATCAAAGCGTGGTACCCACAAAGCAACCGCCAGCTTAGTCGCGCAGCTGTTGTTAGCGAAGAGCAGACTTCAAGTGAGTACCAGGCTGATTCGTCGTTCTTACGTCATTTTCATGAGAAGCAGTGTCGCTTAATTTCCTGCAATGCCGCATACATAAAATTCTAGTTTAAAATATTTGCGAGTGACATATGCCACTGACGCGTACTTAAACGTGTAATGTGTTCTATCATGACTCAAACGGTTGAAGGTGCAGTTTTACCATGCACACTCGTTCATTATGCAAAGATGATTACATTACCTTAATAAGGGACGAGGGTGAAAAGGGCCGCCGCGGTGGTAACCCAATGTCACGGTTTCGATCTCGCCTGCCGCGGTCGTAATGCGATGGAGGCGAAATGCTCGTGTACTTGGATTTAGGTGCACGTTAAAGAATGCAAGATGGTCGACATTTCGGGAGCTCACCTGTACGAGTTCTCCCATAATTATTTCATGGTTTTGACTCGTAAGACGTCAGATATCATAATTATTAATATCAGTGACATAGTGTTCTACAACCACGATATGATTATAAGAGACGCCGTGCTGGGGGTCTCCAGATATTTTGACCATCTGGTGTTTCACGTTCACAGCTGACATCCCAGAACACACGTGCCTCTGGCGTTTCGCCTCCATCGAAAGGCGATCGCCACAGGCTGGATAGAACCCATTACCTGCGGGTCAGCAGCCTAGCGCCGTAATCCCTACACCACCGCGGCGGACCAGATATTATAATTACATGTTGTCTTAAAAAGGGGCCCTGGAACACTTTTTCAAGTAACCATGGAATGAATTCACAGGAAGAGCTTATTGCCTCACGAATTCAACGCCACAAATATTTTAAGAATCCGTCCAGTGCGAGTGGAGTTACAAAGGTTTGTTGCATGGTGCAACTACATTCTCTCTTCTCTCGTCCCGATGAAAGCGCTGGAAGCGAAGCAGCGAGGAATAGCAGGGCCACAGAAAAACGTCACGCGCGCTTCGCGACCTTGGGCACTTTTTTTCTGTTTTTTTCCCCCTTCGAATGCACGGCTTTTCAGTGTGATCGCGCGCGCACGCGTGGACAAGTAGCGGCCTCCCGCGGCGATCTTTGTAACGAGCGAGCGCACCATGTTCAAATCAGCCAATGCCTGATAGATGGGTCATTGACGTGTGAATTTTGGGCATATAACTTGATTTGTTGGTGGAAGAGAAAGCAATTTTTAGCTGACTTTGATAATTAATTGTGAATTCCAGGCCACGTGCTGTGCTACAATACTTGGCTAGCGTGTTGTCGGCAGCCTCTACTGCCGATCGGCAGGGTTTTCTGACCATGCTCAAAAAGTGTTGCAGGGCTCCCTTAACACTAAGTACAGGGACCATGATTATGGGCGTCCAGTATAGCGGGAAAGCCATTTCTTGAAATGGGAATTTGGGGAGTTTAATAATGGTGACATTAATGACGACGCTTTTGTATACGAGTGACCACCAGCAAATTTTTTTGGGTGGTGACTTCATTTGAATCTTTCAAACAAAGATGGTTGGTGTACTGCGGTTTTCGGGGTGTGTATTGCAATGTGCTTTTTCCCTTACCCAGAGATGTCTTCTGGCAACCACTCGATCCAGGAGACGATTACTCGCATCGATGGGGTGAGTATTTTGTCGCCTAGCTCAATTTTATGCTGTGCAGACTGTCACTATATCAACTTTTCATAAACAAATAATAATAATAATAGTAATAATAATAATAATAATAGTCAAGTGCCTATAGCTTCGAGCAGAACTCACGTCCACGCACAACGGTATCAAGAGAAACAAAACTTGAGAAAAAAACGGAAGTTGTAATGAACGTGCTCGATTCGTTGCTTACTTTTGTCGCGTGTTTCGCACCGCTACTCATTTTGTGAGCTGACGATTGCGACAGACGCGTGAGTGTGCTTTCTAGCCGTACGTCAACACAGACTGTCGCGTCAAGTCTGAAGCGCAACAATCCTAATCAAGCTGCGGCGTTATAGTTCATAATTATGTCAGGCCTTTCTTCGTGATCGTGCCGCAACAATTGGTATAGGCCCCCATCGCTGCAGTATCATCCACCTACCAGTCAGAGGCACTTTTCCAGAAGCTGTGATTTCACCAACTCTTTTTTACATCGCTACGTCAGGTCTCCCCAAACAGTTTGAGCAAGTTGAAGATCTGCACCAATATCACGTTGTGGACGGCTCGGGGTTCTGATGGTGGCATTCAAGACCGATTTCAACAAGTGGTAGAGGTCGTATCAGGCTATGCTCCATGGGGTGGCCTCACGTGTGTGCCAAACAAGTTTGAGCTCCTTGTATTTCACGACCGCAGTAAAACTTTCCCACCCACATCAATGTACTCGTTGAAGAAACACCTATCTCTCTCGTAGAGCGAGCACACATCCTCGTACTTTACATTTAAGCAGATGGCAGGGCAAGGCACACCACTTTCGCGCCATACGAAGCAGATCATCGCCATGTTCCGACGCGTCAGTAATCGACGCTCGGCACATGGGGAGCGGGACATGCTTCGACTTGTGGACGCGCGCATTATAAGCCGCTTCAGTTACCACCTTCCATTTCACCGGCTAACGCAAGGACAACAACGAGATACCCTCGAGGTCCACTGGATTAGTCAGCGCCAACGCTTTCTTCTCCCTCCAACGGGTACTCTAACACCTGGTTCAACCAGTCCCCCCTGAACCTCCAGAAACGCAGAAAACGTCCGTTTTACTCCGAATAGCTCGAGTACTTCGCGTGCATCCCCTGCTACGCAACTTGAACCCTGAGCGTACCACCGGTCGTCGGAGAGTACAGGTGAGATACCTGAATCGCACTCTCAGCGAGATTGAGGTGAATGGGGTGTATACTACTGACGCGGCTTGCACGGCAAACGGACACACAACTGTGGTGGTTAGAGGAATGCACTTGTGAGATAGTTGTCTTGATCTGCTCCCCATCTTCAGCCACCCACTCGGGTGAGATCCTGGCGGTTACCATGGTCATCCAACACACCTTGAGCCTCCCCGCAGAAACAAACTTCATACTCACCGATTCTCAAGCAGCATGTCAGGCTTTCCGAGAAGGTCACGGGATTCCCGAAACCGCCCACTCTACTCTTTTACATACATCCAAAGCTGCTTCACACAACAGCCACATCATACACCTTCTCTAGACTGCTGGTCATGCCTCTCTGTCGGGTAATGAACGCGTTCGTACGGCCGCTCGACAACTTGCCGACCGAGCAGCCCTGCGCAGTGAGGAGGCCAGTGCAGAGCTGGGTTCCCAATTTCACATATAACTAAGACACATAACATTACATACGCCAAGGACAGCAATACCAAGTCCCACCAGAGTCATTCGCACGAGAGGAGACTGTCGTCATAGGTGTTCTGGAATAGGGCTCCCCCCCTCTTTTCTTTACATTTGAATAATAAATGTCTTCATCATCGCCCCAATCTTAAAAAAAAAAAACAACTTGTAAGTTGCGAGAATGAAACCTACCTATGACACTTATCACGGACCTCTCGAGTGAGCCAGAGTGCATTTCCTTATGACCATCGGCAATTGCTATGTAATTATTTGCTTAACTATATATAGTACTAATATTAGCATAAAATCTACAGTCATTACGTTTTATTTACAAATGTGAAAGTAATCTCGTTCTTTGGCGATAGCTGCTGTGGTGTTTATATTTCGTTACTGCAAGGCTTCGGCGTGAGATTTTAATGAAGCCCCGCGTGACTGTAGGGTCTCTTGCGTACAGTGATACCAGTTTTTTTTTTTTCAAACAAATGCTACGAAGAAGTGATCAATGCTTCACGCAGAGAGAAGGCAAGAAGAAGCCTAGAGCAACAAAGATCGAGGAAATGCAGTCAGATGAGTAGCGTTCCCAGAGGCGCGCAAACTATAGGACTGGAACAGTCCTTTACAGGATGTATTTTTTTAGAAAATATAGTTATTATTTATAAAAAATTATAACCTTTTTATCTGACAGTCACACTGCTGTCGTTTTCGTGCACATAACTTTTTGCCGAGGCGGGAACATTTTGCCGCGACTATAATGGCATTCACGTCACTAATTAACGAAATCTCGTCAATTAACTATTCATGTATTTACTTGAGTGCAGTTCTTTATATCAGGAGGTGGCTGTGCCCTCATAATCGATGGCATAACCATATTTTAGAAATCGCAAGTTGTGCTTAGTTCCAAATATTCGTCATCAAATTTCGAGGGCGAAATTGAAACTGGTCGCGCCCGGCGCGCACGAAGCGCTACAACTGCGCTACGTCGAACCGTTTTTGTCCGTGACAGGGCAGTGACGAAATTTGAAGCAAGACGCGCCGTGGTCGTATCTTTTCGTGAAAAACTGCGAATCATCTCACCAGCGTATCTGCTTAATTTTGCGTGTAGTGCTTGGTTCTTATCTGTTTCTATGCAACAAAACGGCTGCAGTATCAGCCTTTTTCTTTGTCTGGTAAGCATAAAACTCGGGGCTGCCACTGCGGCGTTTCTCTTTGAAGACAAGCGAACTAGTTTTTCGCGCCCCTTGATAGATTATGAAAAAAAAAAAACGGGTTGATACTACACATCGCACGAAACAATCTCTGATGTAGCACAGTTGTGAGTAAAAGCGAGGCGTTAACCACTGAGCCACCCCGGAGAACCGATGTAGCACAGCTAGGGTGACTATAAAAACACAGTTGTCGCGCTTCGTGGGACAGCTGTGTTATCACGGGTGCGATTTGTTTCTCTTTCACCCTGGACAGTGTTGGAAGCAACTTTTTTTTTTACTTTTTGGAACAGAATTTGAGGCAAAAAAAGTGCCACTTTCGAGCAGCTACAAGCATTTTCGTAGCAAGAAAAATTCTAGTTTGGAGCAGCTATTGTTGTTGAAGGAGCAGATTGCAAAATATACCATACAAGTCCTAGAGTCCGCGAGTCAAAGTGTCGCATAAATATTAATGTATATATGAAAGGTGTTTCGCAGCCTACAATCAACGTAAGTTCCAAGAAACGAACGATGAAGTCACTTTTTGAATGCCAGTTGTATGAGCTATATATATATTCAAAATATTATTTCTGTCAATTTTACATATCACCCTGCATGTGAAATTGAAAATACCTAAATGATCTGAAAGCTTGATATGCCAGTTTTTGTTGCATAAATAGTGTGCTTAGATCTAGGTGCATGTTAAAGAACCCCAGGTGGTCGAAATTCCCGGGGCCCCGTCACTATGGTGCCTTTCATAAACATAATGCGGTTTTGGGATGTTAAATCCCAGCAATTGCGTTTTCACTGTTTTACGTTTCCCCGTAAAAAAAAAAAGCAGTTTCGTTACGACTTGCAAGTTAGTTTGGTCACAGTTAAAGCTGGTCGGATTCATTTTCTCAGTGCCATTTGGAGCAGGTTTATTTATTTATTAAAAAAAAACCAAAGGACCTCATAACGAGGGTATTCATGGGGGGGTGGGGGGGGACAGACATCGTTTTATTAGGCATTTCAAAAGTTGGAAAATTTTTTTGCTAAAATAAATAGAGAGAAGCAATGCACAAAAATTATTTCCAAACACAAACATCATGAAACATTAACCAGATTCACCAGAAAGCCACCTCAAATGACAAGAAAAGGAAAATTGACATACTATGATTAGGTGGTAATTCGAGCGTGAAGAAGATCCTAAAATTGGCTAAGATTGTATTTCGTGGCAATGTCTGCTGGTAATGTGTTCCACTCGGTTGTTGTGCGTGGCGAAAGTGAATGTGCATAACGTGAAGACTGGTAGTTTATACGTTTGACTTTATATGTATGATCACGACGAGGGAAGATATAGAGCTAGTGGTGACCGAAAGAATTCATCGTGGGGAGAATAATAATGATGATGAAGTTTATGAAACAATGTTAACCGAGAAATTTTTCGGCGAAGTGCTAAGTTCACCAACTCAGCTTTCTTCTTTAACGGGGTCACGCTACTGTAATGGGAATAACCAGAAAAATTGAATCGCACAGCATGGTTCTGTAGGGCTTTTATGTTACTGATGATATATATTTGTTGTGGGTTTCAGGTGGCACATGTGTATTCTAATTTTGGACGGAGCGATGTTGTGTACGCTAGTTTTTAACATGCAGCGGGGCTTCCTTGAAGTTATGTTTCAGGATCGAGTTCAAGGGTGCGGGTAGCAGAGGCGAGGGTACTATTATGTGCTTGATCCATGACTGGAGATTTGATTGGAGATTGATGCCAATGTATTTGTAGGTGGTGGCGAGTTCTATGGTACTTTTAGGGGAGTAGGTGGTCGGTATGCGTTCTTATTAGTAAAATACATAAGCTTAGTTTTCGAAATGCTCAATGGCATTAACCAGTCGCAACACCGTGCTTTTATGGCATCTGAATCAGTCTGTAAAAATTGCCTATCTGTTTGACATGCTACTCGTTGGTAAAGCACACAATCATCGGAAAATAATCTGATTTGTGAAGTCACTCAAGTGGGTAAATCACTAAACATATGAAAAAATAAAGGTCCAAGCACACTGAGGAACTCCGAACGACATACCAGCAAAACATGAGTCAGAATCGTTAATAGATGTTAACTGAATTCGCGAAGAGAGAAAATCGGTGATCCGTGCAATTATTTTAGGGTGAATGTTAAGTCGAGAAAGTTTGAGCAACAACCTCAGGTGTAGAACGCGATCAAATGCCTTTGAAAAATTAAAAAGTATGGCGTCAACTTGAAAACCAGCGTCTATCAGTTCATGAACGTCGTTGATAAAGCTGGCGAGTTGGGTGTCGCATTAGTAGTCCTTGCGAAAACCGCTCTAGTGCTTAAAGATAATGCTGTGATCTTCGAGCTAGGCGATGACTTTGTATGTACGACATGCTCGAGTAATTTACAGGTTGTGCTGTAAATTAATCGAGCATGGTTAATGAGATTAGACGATAAATAAAAGAAGAAGCGTCATCACCCGATTTGAAGATGGGTATAATTTTGGCTGTGCGCCAGTCATCGGGGATGCGACCGTTTGTTGTCGATATAGAAAATAGGACTGTTAACATCGAGCATATAACATGCAATGTATTTCTTAATATGTTGTTATTGAAACCTAAATCGTCGGAACTAGATGACGTTTTCAGTTTCGTTAGAGGAGATAAAACACCGCCCGCTCACTGACGACAACTTCGTACATAGTGATCCCCTTCAATCCCCTGAACGTAGGCAGTAAGTTTACGTTTTCGCAAGTGAAGACAATTACAAACGCGTCATTGAGAATTTAAGCGCATTGTCAATCAGGTATGGTATCACCCTTAAGGTCCATCAGACTAATGTCAGCCCGGCTTTACCGGGCTCACAACTCGCCAGAGTCGACGTGGATTATTTTTTAACAAGGATGTCAAGTCATTAGAAGAAAAAACAAATTGTGACGAGTGTATTTAAGCAGTGTTTGATTATCCTTTTCGCGCGTCTTGTATTTCGCATGTGTTCCATTCAGTTAGGCCCTTGTTATTACGTCGACGAAGTTGGTTCGTAAACCAGGCAGAGCTATTTTTGCAGGTAATAGACAACAAGGGAATGAAAATTTCGATGATGTGTGTGTGGGCAGATTGAAAGAGGTTCCGATTCTGTTTAATAAAGCACTTGTTAAATCGTGCAAGAAGTGATCTGAAAACTTTGTTAATTGGCTATTCATTAAAAAAAATTGGCTTCGGCGTAACACCTTATTTTTTTAGGGTTCTTCTTTTGCTAGCAGTAAAATTTAGGCGTTCAGTAAAAACGGCGTGGTCTGCGATGCCTTGTTCATGAGTTTTGTTGACAAAAAAAAAAACAAAAAACATCAGGATTGCTGGTTAATATTAGGTCAGTGATATTGGAAAAACTTTCTGTTCACCGTGTTGGTTGGTCAATTAGCTGAGTTAATGAACAGTTACTAACCACACAGTTATCAAGGTTCAGAACAGTTACTAACCACAATTTGAAGCAGCAGCAGCATTTCTATTTTGGAGCAGTTTGGAGCACACTTCCATCACCTGCCTTGTTATTCGATGATGAATATCGAGAACTTCCTAACAAAAGGTATGCCAGAAATTACCTTGCACAACTTTTTAATATAAACAACTGCACTCATGTCCGTAGTTAAAAAGTTAATAAACAAATTTTGGTTCATTAGTCACGCCAATATAATGTTAGCTGCGGAAAAGTATTTTCGCCTCAACCTATAGAGCTCATGTACGAGAATGACAGGAGCATGACTGTCATATAAGTTTTATTTCAAAATATGCGCATTGTAAAAAGAAAAAAAAACATGGTAGAATGATAGACAGCGGTGCGCTTTCCCGTCTAAATGATGTACCAAGCAGCCCAATTAGGTGCACTCCTGCACAAGAACGAAGTCAGTCGTTGTCGTCATCAAACTGACGCAAAGTTGACTGCAGTGGTAGGCTACATGTTCAGAAGATAATGCAACCTCCGGAAATCAGAGCTGCCTAAGGTTCTTCTACCCGGTTCAGATAAGGTAGGCCTACCCTTCCCCCTTCAGTAACTGACGTACGCTTAAGTTTGTTGCATTCTTGTAACGCACACGTGGAGTTAAGTTGAAACAAACAGCGTATACATTTCTCCGACAGTTGAAGCATGCTAAGTACTTCATGACGACAAAAGTGACTGCGCAACGCCTGTAACGGCTCATTTTTCGAACATAACAACGAGCTGTTGGACAGCGCCCTCAGTATTGTATGCAGCTGCCGCCATCTAGTTAGGTGTGAAGATACTTTCCTGCAACGCATGAAATCTTTATTTGTCCGCCGGACTACACCGACATAAAGCGGTACACGCACCAAAAAGAAAAGAAAACCTGATTGATTGATTGATATGTGGGGTTTAACGTCCCAAAACCAACATATGATCATGAGAGACGCCGTACAGTGGAGGGCTCCGAAAATGTTGACTACCTGTGGTTCTTTAACGTGCACCCAAATCTGAGCACACGGGCCTACAGCATTTTCGCCTCCATCGGAAATGCAGCCGCCGCAGGCGGGATTCAATCCCGCGACCTGCGGAAAAGAAAACCTCTGAACATAGTTTGCGCTGCTCCAACGCTAATGCGGTGAAACAAGGTTTCTATCCTCGCAGTGAATTTTCAGCCATGACGTAGCAGTTAAGCAGTATAGTTCTCTGCTAACAACTCAGTGCCACCTAAACTATATCCACAGGACGCCATAGATCAATATGATGGGAAAAAAGACGATGTTTAGTGATATCTCGTGCAGACTGGGCTCCAGCTTGTACGTATCCCCGTAACAATATCAAGGCCTCAAATCAGTTCCTGAATGCGCGAGCTGCGAATGTTTGGTGATCTTACACAGCACACTATATCAATGTTATTATCAAAAATTATAAATGAGTGAATTAATCAAATATTTTGCTTGACCAGCAATATTTGAATATAATAACACCGCTATAATATATCCTATCACCAAGTTTCGTTCCGTGCTGTAATTTCACCATCACTCACGAGAATGCGTAATTCTCCCTTTTAACAGAAAGAGACATAACTGAATTCGCTAACATCACTTTTTTTTTTCAGTATTACTACACCATAACATATCGCCATGATGTTTACACTGCAGAATATCGTGTGTTACCCGACGCAGCCAGAAGCTGAATGTACAACAGCCCTGAAATTAATCACCGCGCTGCTGTAGTTTAGCATGGCCAAAAACGCATCTTTCCATATTCTAAATAATTCAGATCAAAAATATATTTCCTTTAAACGAATTGTCCCTAACCTAACTGTCCGTTTTGTGCTAACAGGGCGTGGTGACCACCACCACTACCAGGACTCAGCGCATCGTGCAGGTCTCCGAGACATCGTCGGGTTATCCCGGCGACATTTTCGAGACGGGTCATGTGAAAAGGACCGTGGTGACGCGCACGATCAAGCAGAACGCAGACGGCACTGAGGAGGTGATCGAGGACATTGTCTCCGACGACGGTGGCCTTCAAGTTCATGAAAAGCCTAAGAAAGGCATCTTCGGTTTTCTGAGCGGCAAGAAGGACAAGAACAGGACAACAGTCGAGGAGTCGCTAAAAGATCGACAGGTACTGATCAAGCCCATCGGCGAACGGAAGGCTCCAGCCAAGCCCCTCAGCGATAAGGAATTCCGTCAAGACTGCCTGAAGTGGCACAATCATTACAGGGCCATCCATGGTGTCTCGCTGCTCAAACACAGCGATGAGGTAAGGCTACCCACCGCGTATACCATGTGCTTCAATGAAAATGTTTCGCATGGCCGCGAAATCTAATGTTTGTCATGCGTACTCAGAAGCGTATAGCTTTCCCATTTTCTGCTGGAAGGTGGGAGAAGTAGGGGCGACTTCTACCGACATCGAAGCTGGTGGTTGCACAAAAGTTCGACGGGGGGAGGGGGAGTGGGGGACTGTACCATTTTCCGCTGCGACTGGTGGGTCGCAACATTCGGAACCGCGTTTATTAAGCGATCTACATCACGGAGTGTCCGTTCCCGCTGCCGGCGTTCTCATAACGCTGGCATTATAAAAGCCAGTATTTGTGGCCATGTAGCGCAAGCTATTTTTATGCTTTCATCTGCTAGCGTGACACATAGACGCTTTTTAACATATGTGCATGAGAGCTTAATTTAATCTTTGTGTTATACACTCGATAAAACCGGCGAATGATCATACCATTGTGCATACCTTGATATGGCACTGAAAAACGCGGCTAGTCATTCGAGAAAACAGTGACAGTTTTTTCTTCTGATCTTTTATTACATCGGTAGGCAAAGACAAAAGTAATGACACAGCATACCGCGAAGCTTTCCATCGGGTATTGGCATAGATGCGTGCAAGCGGGGGGGGGGGGGGGGGCGGGGCAGGGGGGGGGGGGAGGGGTGCAAATTTGCGAGCCCCATACATTGACATTATATTAAGGGGGGCGCTGAGTCAGCCCCTTACATTGAGATGATATGGAGGGGAGTGGGGCGCTGCGAAGAACATTCGCCCCTGAAGGGGAACCCTACGCACGCTTGTGGGTATTTGCGCCGGTGCATTTCAAAACATCATATGACGTCAGCTGCGTAGATCGCTTGCTTTTACGCTGCTTGTTCAGCTTTCAATTTCGTCACAACAACATTATAAAAAGCAATACAGGTAATGTCATCCTCCTTGTGTTGTTACGGTTATTCACGATATCGCAGTACAGCAGAGCCCCATTGTGTCGTATACTTTCCGAAATGCCGGAGATACTAATAGCTGGCTGACATGCAATATATACAGTCCACAAAATGCACTCACCGTATACGTACAACACAAGTGAAACGCGACCAGGGCACAAGTGAAACGCGACCGCCGGAATCCGACCGACAACACCAAGTTGTTGACTGGTCCAGCACGTGACCGTGATTTTTTATTTTTTTTTATCGCTGGCAGCCAGCAAGCTGTTAAAAGATCCGTGCTTGTCTCGCTACAGCTGCACAGCATAATCACCGCGCAAAGCTACTTTCACAAAGAGGATGTTAAGCTTTGTGTTAAGCCGTGCAGAGTGAACAGATGCTTCGGCTACCTTGCCGATAGGCTTGGTCAAGACAAGTTAATCATAGCTTATGCTAAATAACCATAATAAAAACAATAATAATCGATACAAATCCATACTTACCATACTCATTGATACCAATCAAGCTACCAGATTAAACCAGGCCATGCTTGAACCAAGCCTAGTTAAGCGAGTATATCGCAGCCTAATAGAGTTTGAACATGCCAATTTAACCCTAGTCAATACCAATCTATACTATAGATACCTATCAAGTGGGATTAAACAAGATTAGTGAAGATTATGTAGAATCACGTTATTCCAGACCATGATGACATGGCATAGCCATGAGGTAGATTAGACCTAACTAAGCTATGTTCTTTTGTATTAAGCATGACAGTAAATCCGGGTTAAGCTAATCCAGAAAGAATCAATTTTCAGTGAATTAAGAATGACTGGCCATTTGGGTGAGTGTATAGGGTCACATTAAGCCGATTCAATTAAATTTGATTAAGCTGGATTAAGGCTATTCAAATATTGAACTATCCAATTCTGAGTAAGTTGAAATTGCCTGGCCGTTTCGATGACAGAGTACAATAAGGCAATGATGACAGGCCGCAATAAGGCGTATGCATTAAGCCAGATTAAGCTAATCTACATTAAGCTAATCACAAACAAGTTATTTTGAAGTGAGTTAAGATTGTCTAGCCTGTTGGATGCCAAAGCATGGTCACGTTAAACCCATCCAAATTAAGCGAGATTAAGCTAATGCAAAATAAACTAAGCTAATCTGATTTATGTTATTACAAGTCATTTATGTTAGTCATGCTCTCTTACTGTGCCATGTCACTATTGGCAGTTAACAAGATAAAAAAAACCTGCCTTTGGAGCCCCATGACGTTTGTCATGTGTGTCATGGCACAAATGACATGCATGACATCATTTTTATGTTAAGACCACTCAGTTATGCTAGTAATGCCCTCTTCTACCATGTCATGCCAATTTTAGTGGGCACCAAGTTAATAAAGCGGCTGTTAGAGCTCCGTGAAAGTGTAGAGTGTGTCATGACATGCATGACAAGTTTTTTGTGTTATGACCAGTTTTTTTTTTCATCTAACGTTGTTATCATGCCCTGTCAATTTTGGTATACACAAAGTTAATAATACACATTTTAGGACAATATTACTATGCCATGTGTCATAGTGCACATTACATGCACGACAGGACTTTCGTGTTATAACCAGTCATTCATGCTAGCGATATGCTCATATTATGCTGTGGCGGTTTTGGTACACATCACATTAATAGAGCGGCTGTAAGCCCTCGATAACCGGGCCATGTATGTCATAGCCTATATGACATGTATGACGAGCTCAGTTTTCGTGTTATGTCCAGTCATGTATATTTTCCTCATGCTCTTGATACACGATGTTAATTTTGGAATACATGAAGTTCACCAAACGACCGTTGTAGCTCCTTGACCATGGCATGCATGTCATGCCATATATTAAAGGCATGTCATGATTTCCATCTAATGAGCAGTTATTTGCGTTTTTCACACACTCTTGTCTTGCCATGTCAATTTTGGACTCATCAACTTAATCAATCAGCTGCGAGAGCATGAGGACATACACAGCCAGGGAGATGGACAAACCACTAGATACCCTCTAAATACCTTTATTTTGTCATAAAACGCTTCGTGCATAATGATTAGTGCCTAATCTATTTGTTACCAACATTATATGTGCAAGCCTTACCACCAGAAGGGATAAACAGAGCCAAATTACCGAGCATTTCGCTGAAAGCGATCCCTCTCTGTATGACAGCCAATGCCAGCGAACGCAAACATTTAAACAAATGTAGCGTCCACAAAAGCAGTGTCTTCACTCTGTTCCGGAGGAGCGCATCAAGGCACCCTATTCTTCACGGAAGTAGAGTGGTGCTCGAATTAGATGATGACAAATGTTAAGGGAATTAAGTTTCGAGTAACGTGGGGTTTTCAGCTCTTTCTAATTAACAGACAGAATCGTAGATATGCCATGCTTTTATTTCTGAAAAAAAAATGAGTGCTTGCTTCGTTTTTAAGTGGTTTGCACTGCAGTCTCAATTTTGTGTTAATGCCAGCTGCATTTAGACTGATAAAATGTGAATGTGTGTTTAACTTGGGGCATGTTAAATTTGGTACAAATGCTATCAAATGAGTTGGTAGTATGCATTTTTTTTCTGCCGCTTGCTTAGCTTTGATGGAATTCCCAGGAAGAAATTACCAGAAGTTGACTGTGCAACACAGCAGACCAGCTGGAATGTTAATGTGCTTGCATATAATGTTAATTGTATAGCCAAACTGCGCTAGGCCACACTGTGCTGTTGTTATGCTAGTAGTAGTATGAGTGGTAGTAGTTGCAGTAGGCACCACGCCGGTCATGTGACCGAAGAACGGTGAATAAAAAGAAAATCATGGTGATAATGACGCTTGAAATGGTGATGATGAAGATGGTGCTTGCATTTCTGTATAGATACTAATGAATGTTTTGGGCAAATGGGTAGATGGAATGGACCGCGTTTGCCCTGAAACACTGCCACAGGGTTCAAGCTCAAAGAATGAGCATATTGTTCCATGGGATCCACATGGCTAAACCTGAACAACAAAGAAAACCTGAGTGAACACTTCGCTGCAACTTAGGAGCAAAATGTAATGCCTGACAAAAGGGTGAAAGCTGATGGTTTTTATGGCATGGAACTGGCCAAAATTACTTCTTTTTACTAAAGACTTCATAACATTCATGCTAGCAGCATGTGGTACGCTGAACACTCTCCTGACACCACTACCGAGGCGATGTGTAGTGTATACACATGGCACGCACTTTGCATTGCTGCTTTCGCAGTTGGATGTAGGGGACTTTCCTTCTACGATGCATGTGAACATTCTATGCATTTTTGGCAAGGACTGCATGATACGATGATGCTGATGACAGGAATCTGCTACAATAAGAGTGTATATATATAAATTATGAACGTAACATCTATTGATGTCAAAATCCAATAAAAGTGTATATATATAAATTATGAACGTAACATCTATTGATGTCAAAATAGTTTTGCGAAATCTCATAAACATGTAGGACAAGAGAAACAAAACATTGTCATCTACCTAGTGTTGCACGATGCTGCAAAGAAATCCCATAAAGCTTTTGTCGCACAGAAAGCAGCTGCACGTTAAATTATGAACATAACATCTATTGATGTCAAAATAGTTTTGCGAAATCTCATAAACATGTAGGATAAGAGAAACAAAACATTGTCATCTACTTAGTGTTGCACGACGCTGCAAAGAAATCCCATAAAGCTTTTGTCACACAGAAAGCAGCTGCACGTTCTTGATGGGGAGTGATGCGCACAAAAGACAAGACTCAAGAAGGAACACAGATAGACAGACGAAGCGTAAACTAACAACAGTTTACTGGCGAGAAATGTGACCTTATTTACATCAACGGCTAACACTCGTTGCATATTAAGAAGCAAAGCAAACATGAAACTAACTCATGCGTGTCTTACCAGTAAGATATGCAATTTCGTTGGCTGATAAAGAGATAGGTGGCACGCTGATGCATTTGTCTTTGAGACATGAGATATTGTGATCATCTATGATTAGGCGTGTTGTTTCACATCTGTTCTTTGTAATTACAGTGGATCGTTAAAATTTTGTGTTCCTTTTTGTGTTCCGTCTTTTGTGCGCATCACTCCCCATCAAGACGATTCACCAAGCCCAAAATGAAACCACCCTGAAGCTGTTCGATCCTTCTCAGGGGGGTAAAAATTTTCTGGTTTTTGTTACACTTGTTGATTTATCACCAGAATATAAAATTTGCATTTTGGTGTCTTAGCTGTATAATGTACGAGTAATTTAACTATCGTTCTGTTCTTTTGTAGCTTTGCCGGTACGCACAAGAATGGGCTGATACATTAGCCAAGAAAGACACGTTTTGCCACCGACCAAACAACAAGTATGGCGAGAACATTTACATGGCCTGGTCATCAGACCCCACAAAGGAAGTGACAGGTGTGTATACAATTATTGAACTTGAGAACGAAATACTGTCCTTTGTGTAAAATGAGCTTTTTAATGCCCTAACACTATTAATACTATTGCAAAAGAAATTTAAGAACGTCAAGACTGCTTGTTTAGGATATAACATTATGTTACTCTCTATTGTGTTACTGTGTAAGTTTACTGAAACCAGTGTTTTTTTTGCTTTAGTCTCTTTATTTATTTTATTTTTACATACTGCCAGTCTCAATAAGGAATATTGCAGGAGGGCAAACAAAATACACAAGAAATACACTTACAGAACCAAATACACAATGGATACACTTGCACTTACATGCAAAAATGGGCGACCACAAAATTCTATAATATTACATGAAAACTATAAAAGCACAACTTATGTATGGCTGATATACATGAAAATATTATACTACATAATCTACTGATAACACTGACATATTTAAAAAGCAACCAAGAACTGTGGAAGTGAGAAAAAAAGCATAGAAGAAAAAAATAACATCATTTCAGCTATGAGTGGCACGAATGTGGTTTTCAAGTAAAGTTAAATAAGTATTCAAATCCTTACTATTAGTCAGACAAGCGGGCAATCTGTTCCATTCTCTAAGTGACTGTGAGAAGAAGGAATACTTGAAACAGTTGGTGCTGAAATAATATTCCTATAATGTTAGTGGATGTTTATGGCGTGATTGTCTGGTTTCTGAAGTAGACATGAATCTAGAGCTGTCGATGTTTAGCTACTTATGAATAAGTTGTGAAAGCTATTGTTTGTTCGAATGCATGTACGTATTCTTGAATACTTTTCCCACCCTGCAATGATCTTTCACGAAAATATTGCAGTATTTATAAATAAATAAATATAGTAGACTCCTAATAAATGAAACTCTCTTAAATGAAATTGCTGCTTAAATAGAACAACTGCCACTAATATGTTTGGTTTCGTACTTGAATGTTATACCCCTGTTTATCTCTCAGTAAACGAAACTCCTCTTAAAGGAAACAGATTTTCCTGGTCTCTTCAGGTAGTCTACTGTAAACAAACAAATAACACATTTTGAGCTAGTTGGTTGTTCATACCGAGGCAAAAACAGTGTGTACTGACAAGAAAAGACAAAGACAAACACAAGGAAAGATGTAGACACAGTGCCTGTGTTTGTATCTTTCCTTTTGTCTGTCCTTTCTTGTCAGTACACACTGTTTTCATCTTGGAAGTTACAAGAACTCCAGTGTACACACTTCCTTCAAATTTCCAAGCGCCTGCTGAAGTTGCTGAGTGTGCTTTTTGTGTCAGAATTTACCCAAAAGAAATGAACTGGCATGTTATTAAACTGGCTAGATATTGTACTTTAGACAGAGCATCTCCTACTATTACCTCCTCCATACCACAGTCCTGCGGGTCACCTGAAAACCTTTTTTTTTTTCGCTCTGCTTTGGCTTCTATGCACCTTAAATCCCTGACATGTCTCTTGAGTGTTGCTCATTTGGCTATTAACTTTCTGAGGCATGGTAGCACCCTTCTCAGAAAGACTACTAAGTAGGTGTCAGAATTCCACCAGGGGCTCCCTAAAAGTGCTTGGGTTCATTTGGAATGCCAACCAATGGCGCTAGACCCAGGAGGCATGTGTGGGAAGTTTCTATAGACATACCCTGGTGATTAGAAACCCAGCTTGTTGTCATATTTTGCATAACTTTGTTATGTGTGAAAGCCTGAGTTTCTTCCACCCCAAGAAGGCTTCGGGCAACCTGTAGCTTCTCGTAGCTCATCTTGTGCTAGCAAATGAAGTTTTCTATCATGTGTAAGAAAAAATGTTGCTTAAAGGGATGCCTTTAGAAGAGCAAAGGTGTGTGTGGAGAAATTACTGCTCCAGGTTAGAGGAAACACAACCAAAAATGAGGCAACAAAAACACTGGGTTTATAACTAGTAAAGGTTCAGAAAGAAAATGTAAATTTGCCCTTGCATAATTAGTGAATACAGTCCAACCCCTTTATAAGAGACACTGATATAAGAGACAAATGTGTATAAGAGACACCAGTGTGCCTACATTGAAATAGGTGTTCAATAAGAAAATGCATACATAGTACCCTACTTTTAAGAAAAAATCTCATATAATAAAAGACAAGAATTGCTGCCCAGAGCATGCCTCTTATAAAGGGGTTCAGCTTTTTTGTGCTTTTGTCATCAAACATCCATTGTTGACAAGGCACTGGCAAATGATTCTTTCTTAAACTGGTTATAACTTCCCCCTTGCTTCAGCACTTGCCCGTTTTGTTTTTTAGTGTGGCTGCAAGGAGCTTTTCAATGTGTTGACTAATGAACCATATCCAAAAACAAAGGGTGCTTAGCATGTTACTCTCCTTTTCAAGCATGTGGTGTTCCAAGCTCGGGAAATAATGCCAAAAACTTAAGTGAAAAAAACTGGTGAAAGGCACCGAAAAGGTTTTTCTTAACATGATCAGAATTTAGAGTAGATTCTCGATCTCATTTTTTGTAAACCCCCACCACAATTAACCTTCATTGACATTCAAGAAACCTGGATTTGTTTTTTTTGTGTGTGTGTGTCCATTATGCCTGTGCAACACTGCTTAGTGGTAATGTGAGAATGGCTTGGTCCACCATCAATAGACTGCTTTCAGTTCTTAATAAAGTGTATTGGAACCCTTTTTTTCATTAAGTCATAATATTGGCATAATTTTTTGTTTTAAGTCTGACTTTGCATGCATCTCACTTTTTAAATAATCATTCAACCAGGGATATGAAAACATGCAGACAGCTTCACTTAGAATAAAGTTCTGATGCAATAGCAATAAAGAGATGATTAGGCAGAACTGGCTTTGTTGGTATGGAGCGAAAAAATCTATATTTTATCTGTTTATTTTAGCATAGTGTTGGCCCTTGGGTCGTTACAGGGTGGATCACAGTTGTTATACCATACAAAACCATACTAATAAACAACATTTCAAGAGCAATAAGTAAGACATGTCCAAATAAAATATTCAGGCAATGCAATGCAATAAAATATGACACAAAACAATACAATTTAATACAATACAGCTGTGCACTTATTTGCAGGCTTTTTCACAATATTAACATAGCAGGAGTTAGAATATAGCAAAATTAACAGAGAAAAGTCAGCGTGTCAATCTTTTAGGTAAGGCTGAGGAAAATATTGCTTGAGCCTTTCCTTGAAGTTTCCCACTCAAGTACACTACAGCCGCGATAAGGGTAGGAAATTCCGTTTTCGAATATTTTTTGGAAAGAATTAATTTGCATATATATTGAGGTGTTGCTGAGGTGATACTTCTCATGTACATTTATTAATTCCTTACAAAATACTTACTCTGCACGGTGTTAAATAGTGATCTGTGTCAATACTTAGTTTTATTTTTTCACAGTAGAAAAAAATAATTTTAGCCTGATCAGTTTTCGATATGACAGATGTACCATTTCTGTTACCGATTCTTCCGAAGAAAATTTTAAAGAATGAACCTAGTGGCTGTCTTCTGTACTGTTTCTAGCATTTTGATTAGCTGAACTTCTCAGGGGCACATATAATATTTGCGTATTCCAGAGTTGGCCTTGCATACGCAAGATACGTTGTTGGCTTAACCGGTGTCATAGGGAGTTTCAATTTGCCTTGTGAATACCACAAGTTCTTTTCCACTGCTGAACAATTGTTTTCAATATGGCAACTCTGTTTTAAATTACCTGTTATATTCATGTCAAAGTACCTTATGGCATCAAGTGTAGAGAATAGGGTAGAGCCCATTGCATAATCATGAATGAGGACGTCCTTGCTCTTATTTGCAATGTGTAGTGAGACAGTTTCATTCTCATTTATTTCTATTTTTGATGTAGTGCATCAATCACTGACAACTGCAAGAGTGAATGTTAAGTGCCTTCTGATTACTGGCATTTTAAAATTTTTTTTATAAATTAAGTAGTCATTTGCAAAAAAAAGCCGTGTGATTGTATTTGTATCAATGTTGCATGTTATATCATTTACATGGATTAGGAAAAGTATTGGTCCTATGACGGAGCCTTGTGGGACCCCTGAAGTGGTGTGCAGTGGACTGGACTTGTGGCCATTTAATTTTACATATTGTGTTCGTCCTTTCATGTACACGCCTATCCACTGTACAACACTGTTATTTATGCAAAGATATATAAATTTTTAACTTGGTGTGTGGAACTTTATTGAGAGCCTTTGAAAAGGCTAGGCATATTGCATTGATCTGGCTTCTCTCATTTATAGCATGAGTAAAGTCGTTTGCAACAGTTGAGTGGTTGTTGGGAGATTCTGCTTGAAGCCATGTAGATTAGGAAGGGATAACTTATTGTCTTCAAGGTATGTATGCGTAGATTAATTTTGATATGACGAATTCTAAGCTTACAACACACGCAAGTCAAATAAATCTGATGGTGGTTTTTTATGTTTTTTCTATCTCCAGATTTGCATATAGGTACAACCCTTGCCATCAGCCAATCATCCTGAACTTGTCTTTGTTCAAGCAAAGCCTTAATATATTGAGGAGATAGTGGGCGGCCCACTGTCTCTTCTTCTGCATGAATGAAAAAATCGGGAAAAATGCACCAAAATATATAATTAAACTCTTCAGTTTGAATAGTAATTAAAGCCAGGCTTTCTGTGAGACAAGCAGGTGATCTACCATAGAGCCATGCCAATGCTTGGAACCGCAGTGTAAAATCACACTATATGAATATGTCGTAGTGCATGAGTCTCCTTAACGTATATAATACTGTATAGCAGAAGCGTAGAACCCTGCCAGGCATCAAAACATGTGAATTGCACAATGAGCAGGTGTTTTAAAGGCCCACTCAAACATGAACTTAGAACGCTCAGACATATTTAATCATCGTCATCAGTAAAAGCATCAACAAGCTGAGCAGGTTCACGTGTTGCCTTACGGACACGTAATAGGCCCTTCACTGATTCACAAATAGAATCATGATATAGTGGGCACTTGCCAACTGTACTTGTAGTAGACATTATAGAATAGTTTGTAATGGCCTTTTGTTAAGCACACAAGCGTTCATTTTCTTACGGCAGGGGTGAGGCAGCCACCGAGAACTGAAGAAAAGCTAGCAATCGGGACAGCAATGCACATGGGGCCTGATTACACTGTTGCGTTCTACTCTTGAAGGTGAAGCTCAAATGTCCTCCAAGTTTCCTGGCTTTGCTAAATAGTACTCACTTTGTTAGCTTGACTGTTTCAATTAATTAGTGCTTTGTTCGGATAAGCTAAAGAGACTAGACGGGTCTTAACCATTTTTTTTTCATGAAGCATCCCATGCAATCCCTACATCACCATACAAAGAAAACTCTAGAGAAAATTGACTTTCTTCATTGTGAAAATCGTTGTCAATATTCTTTTCAATCCCCTCTAAAAATGGCCTGTATATGAGGTATGGGGAAGGTATTTTTTCAAACACTTATGTTAGATGACAATTTATTCAGAATCACTCCAATTTCTCCCCCTCGCTATTTTCACTGTACCGGCTCTTGTGGGACACTAAATTTTGTATCTGTGGCATGCTTGCTGAGGTGAGTTTCAGACCCGAGCATTGTAATTGCTCTCGTAACCTACCACGGTAGCTTGCTGTTGAGCATAAGGTCATTGGTTTGATCTTGGCTGCGGTCGTGAATGCAGAATACAAAACCATCTGTGCACCTTGCAAACATTGAGTGCAAGGACACTGTGTGGCCAGTAGTAACTTGGAGTCCCCTATCATGATGTGCCTCATAATTACATAGTCGGCTTGAAGGATGTGGCACAACATTACAAGTGGGAAGAAAGAAGAAACACGCAGAGCGCCAACTCACTACTACCGTATAAATCGGACTATAGGTCGAGTGGGAATATAGGTCGACCTCCCTAGTTCAGGTTACTGAAAAAAAAAAAAAAAACAAAATTGCTGAACGACATTTATTTGTGAACTGGGCGCACTGCACCGCGATCGTCGGAGCTCCCCTCCACCACCATCACAACTGTTCTTATTCGTCAGACGAAGCACCACTGTCTTCTGAAGATAGAGTTTGTCGCTGGCCACCTCCCACAGTGCGTTGTCTTCCGTGCCATACAGGGAGTTGCTGGTGGAACATTTCTTAAAAGCATTTTCCACCATGGAATCTGACAAGGAACGCCAGGCGGGAAGCACCCAGCCACAAACAGTCGCAAGCGGAGGCCTCTGTAGGTCGGTGTCTTTGGGTTGTCGCCGGACATCCACTTTTAGTACTCCAGCTGCACTCGGTCCTTGAACAGCTTGTTTAGCACAACGTCGATCAGTTGGAGGGTGGACGTCATACCACCTGTTATCACGGCGAGGTCCGTTTTTTCATCGCCGAGTGTGCGCTTCACAGCGTTGGTTAAGTGACCACAAAACGGATGCTGCAAATACGCAGCAGTGCACCTGGCTGACACTTCCAGACTACTCGTATTCATTTGAGCATCATGGCCTCGTCCATGTATCCCTTTTTGTTGACGCAAACGACAACACCGGGCGGGAAAACTTTATTCGGCATTGTCTTACGTTTGAAAACGATGAAGGGCGGAAACTTTCTACCGTCTGCCATGCATGCCAGCATGACGGTGAAGCACGAGTGCTCGTTGCCAGTGGACAACAGCTTGATATCCTTGGCACCATGTTCCATGATCATGGTCGATGAAGGCAAGTCAAACCACACGAAGGTCTCATCGGCATTGTCAATCTGCCCCATCATGTAGTTGTTCTGCTCCAGAAGCCGGTTCACGAAGCTCTGAAAGTTTATATGCTTGTCTTAAAACTCGTCTGGAAACTTCTTACACATGGATGTGCGCCACCGGAAAGAAAATTCTTTGCGTCTCATGAAATGACGCACACAAAAGTTTGGTGCACGAAACTCTTCTCTCGTGAGCCCAGCTTCTCGACCCAGCTTCTCGAGCGAGTTCCACAGCTTTCTTGCAAATGGTATCCACGGTCACTTGCAGCGAGCACGCATGAACTTCCCACACAAAGTTCCCTAGCATATTCTCTGGCTGAGAATGAACCACACTTCGCCCACGAAATGACATTTTCTGAGGACTGCACATCTGCAGCTTCCCTTTCTGCACCTTCCAATAGCACACGCTTTTTTCTGATACCCCAAAGCGGCACTGAGCAGCCATATTCCCATTTGCTTCTGCGAACTCAACTTCTAGTTTAAATGCAGCTGAGTACTGCCTTCTCGTACTGCTACTCATATTCAGTGAATGAAAAAAATACCACTAAAAATAAAACGCAACGTCAAGCGTAGCGAGAACTCAGAACAGATCGGAGGCAAATCACGAACACACAAAAAAAAAAACCAGACATGAGAGCAAAAAAAAAAAAAAAACCTGCTATTGGATTTGAATGCGAATATGGCCGTGTCCAGCTTCTCATGCACATGCAAGCCACATGTTGCCAGATCTGACAGCGGTGCACTGTCGGCTAGACACCTCTATATAAAATGAGGCGCGACTTTAGCGCGTTCTTTTATTGAAAATATCTTGACCTATACTCTGGTTTAAACGGTAATTAAATTTTTGGAAGTATTTAATATATAGGCACTCAAGACATACACAGAACTAGGCTCTAAACGCACATGCAGGGAAAACATAATAAGCCATCAAATTTCGAATACAACTAAGTTACCTCAAACACTGCTAAACAAAACTATTCAGTGTGCCAAACCTACAAAGTAGATTTAAACCAAATCGACATATATAGTGCAAAACTGAAAATTTTTTTCCGTACCCATCCTGGCCTGGACATGAAGGAGAGACAGTCGGGTGTGACAGCCTGCTTTGGCACAAGAAAGACTATAAACACAAGTCTGCTCAGGCACCTTTGCCACTGTGGGCATTCTGTGATGAACTGGAAACAATAGACCATTTCTTTTTGACCTGCAGGCGGTTTAACACATTACGAAAAACCCTACTAGAAATACCTTTGCGTGGCATTGGTATGAACTTATCTCTGCCTGTCATTTTGTCTTTTGGAGCTTCCATTTCTGGTTTCTCTAATGGCACAGTATGCGTGGCCATCCGGGACTATATTGATGAAACTAATAGGTTCACTAATTAACCAGTTTTATTATCTTATTTTTCCCCATAATTATATACGTATAAATTCAGATTATTGCTCTATTCTAAGAATAAATTTGTTTACGTAAATATTTGTATGCATTACATTAAGCACCACACTTGCCTATAGGCTATCGGTAATCTTTCTGTTATACCTCCATCATTCTAAATCTGAACAGTAAATTTTAAAGCCACTCGATTCTTGGCCAATCCCCCACAGTGGGTATGCGCCACTAACAATAGGAGAACAACAACAACAACGACTTAAAGGGCTGCCACAGTTTTGTTTTCTTAGAAAGCCCTAAAGCTTCTTTTACTAATTACTGCTTTGATCTTTTGCCTAAATTAGGAAATGATAACTCACTATTTTCAGTATACCTAATTTGCACCCCCACAAATAAAAAATAATAAACTCGTTTTTTGCTGCTTTGACGCTTTTGTGACTATCAGTAGGTGACATATGCCTGACATACTTGATGTTTTGCTTGCAGGGCAAGAAGCTGTTGATTCGTGGTACAGTGAGATCAAGAAACACCAGTTTGGCTGCGAGCCACGCAGCCTTGGTTCTGGTCATTTCACGCAAGTCATCTGGAAGGGCAGCAATGAACTGGGCTCGGCCCGGGCCCGTACGGCTACTGGAAAGCTGATTGTTGTGGCTAACTACAACCCTGCAGGGAATTTCATAGGCTCCTTTGCCCAGAATGTGCCACCACCCAAGAAGTGAAGTGAGCGCGGCACCATTTTGAATGAAACTTGGGATGTGGTAGCTTTGTGAAAATTGTGTGTTTGTATGTATATATGTACACACACACAAGCTTTTTAATGTCGAAGTTGGCTATTGGAAAGCCTTTGCATTTTCTAGTTTAGAAGATTATTTTACCAAAAAATGCCTCTTGCACAGTATTACCTTTGTAATTAGGAAGAACCTTGGCATCAAGGCATTGTTGGCATTGAGCACAACTGCTCATGACTACTGCGACTATATTCAACGTTTTGGTCCAAGTATGAAAAGAAAGTGTGTAAGTGCTAAAGATGATTATGCAAACATCCATTTATAACACTGTGTGACGATGTAGCTAGGGCTGCTGAAGCAGCAAAAGATATGTCTTTAGGGCACCAAGATTTGACTGTAGTTGGTCCAAGCTATTTTGAAAGTCATTTAAATGAAGGGAGCCATCTGTGCCCCGTCTGTGGCAGCAAACGTGAGTAGGCACCGATATGTTGTAAAGTTACAGTAACTCAGGCATTTATCTTTAGCCACAGGTTTCTAAACTAGGTACTATTTCTGGAGCACAAATGTGTATTATTTTGTGAAATGTATCTCTCAGCTGTTCTATCTAATGAGAGCTTTTAAGAGTGTAAGAAACAGCAAACACCTTGCACAGAAAAATGCAGAGAGGTGTGTATAAGATATTTTTACTGCCTCATTTTATTCCATTACCTATATACACAAGGCCAGAAGTCAATGAGATGTTATTACATTATAATGCTCGAGGGCTTTTCTTCTTTTAGGTATAAATTATGCACCATGCTTCCAAAGCATTATGGCTTCCTTTTAAATGTGTCAAGCTATTTCAATATTCTGTGCTTTTTCCGAGACTAAATACGTTTGTGCCAAATATAGCATTTTAGGAATTTAAATACTGGCATTGAATACAAGTGAGCAAGGTATTGTGAAGAGTATTACAGCATATTCTAACATACCCCATTCAAATTCTAGAAAACATCATTGCCAGTGACTAAAGGCATGCCAAGAGTTTTTTCTCGAACATTCCTATATGTGTTCGCATCACTATTTCATGTGAATAATTAGCTACACGCCAGGAGTAAAAGAGGGGAATTGAGTGAGCACGGTTCTTTCAGTAATTTTATCTCTATTTAGGAAGAGTGCTAAAAACAGGAGAATGCACTATGTAAGTATTTTAGGAAATACACAATGTAGCTGGTAGAAATTTAAGTTTCAGTAATGCCACAAAAAATTTCACCACCTATCCTTTCTGGTAATGCATTTCCCAACATATATTCTATTGTCTAACAAAGAAGGCTCCCAAAACGATTCCTATGTTGAACACAATTTGGCAAAATGGCTTACTTATTCATATTTGTTTGTATTATGTGGCTTGCATCGTGGGGTGTGAATTTCAGCATATACAAACACATCCCTTCAAGTTGCTGCCTAATGCTCACATGTCATGTGGAACTAACTTAGTTACACCTATTTTATCCTCCCAGCATGTTTGACAAAACTTGTGCTTAGGGAGTCTTGTGAAAGCCACAAAATTGACAAAATGCCCTCTATGCTTGAGGTGACGTCACTGGTTCCTGCTAAGAAGTTATTGGTGGATTAGTTGGTTGATCATAATCACTTGAACGGCAGCACATTTGTGGAGACATGGACGAATACTACTAATTAACATAAAGGCACTGATATGTATCGCTATTGTTATACTTTCATGCCAATTACAGGGCTCAAATTAAAAAGCTCTGCAAAGCTGTTCTTGTAGTTTAAGCTAACCACTGCTGAGGTATTGCAGGTCATTTAAAATATGTTATGCAAAAGAGACTAGATATTTGTGTGCCAGCTGTTGCATAACCACATGGTGATTATTGTATATTCCTGACTAAATTGATTGAAAGTATATCTTGTTTGCATATAGCAGCATCCACTATGCCCAAATGTACAATGATTATTGCTTGCATTTGTGCATTGGGTCCAAGACCAAAGAGTGATGTATTATTTTTTCTATGTGTATTGAACAATAAAGTTGTTTTGTTACATATATTTGCGAATCTTTCAACTGTACCTTTGAAGAAAAGATGGCTTTGTGACATTTGCATGCCACAAAAAGGCTGTAAAACAAAGGTGCCAATAGAAAACTGCAGACATGTACATATTGACTTCAGCTGCAAGCCAACATTTCAACACGATGACTCACCCTTGTCTGAGCAAAGGTAGCTATTTTTGCAGGATATATACACCTGTCAAGTACTCCTTTGGCTTATGGGCAAATAAAACGAGGTGGCAAGGAAGAGCAAAGTCAGGGAGGGGTAGGTGATGCTAAAAACTTTAAGATGGAGGGGTTTGCTGTGATTGAGAGTTAGACTGTAGATGATTTCAGGCAGCTTTTAAGCCAATGGCTGTTCTGGAAAAAGAAAATCAGCCCCAAGGTTAGGGGAAAAGGATGAATATACTCCTACAACAGAAGAAATGCAAAAAAAAAAAGAGAAAAGAATGCTTCAGTGGGTAAAAAAACAGAAGATTGATGAATCAGTAAGATGTTTAATCAAAAAAGTGTGAAGAACTATGTGTACACCAGAAAGTGTGGTCGCCCTCTATTTTGCGAAAAAATTGTTTGCTTAGTGCTCAAATGATGTATATTACGTATGAAGCAACAACAAATGTGTACAAAACAATTTTAACTTCATAGCTAGCTTGCATTATTGTTTGGAGTTTGTTAGCTGCGATTTCATGCAACTTACATGGCCTTTGTTCAAAATTTGGCAGGGCTGTTATATATGCACATTTCAAATGCCATTTAATGGTGGTGTGCGAGAACCCCATAGGTTAGTAACTGCTGATAATTCAGCAATGTGGAAGCTTTCTCTCATGTGAAATTTGATATCACATGATCATTTAACAGGTCCACTGATATTACTGTGATTATAGTAGATGCCTTAGAATGTTAAAGAAAATTCTGCTGCTCTTGATCACTTCCTTTTTTAGAATTTCTAACTTCATACAAAAATTTGTGCGAAGTTGCAATTTGCATGACCTCATCGACACAGTATGCTGTCGTTTTCGTTTTTTACCCATGTTTTTACTAGGAGGCTTTAACTTTCCAAACATGACATCGACACGTCTTTCTTTTTTTTCACAGCAGAGTGGAGATTTCCTTAATATATGCTCCATTTATTGCTTCACTCAGTAACTCAAGCCACCAGAATAACAACTAATGCAGTAAGCACACTCATCTTAATACTTACAATGCATCTGACCTCACCTCTGACATTACATACTTATCATGAATCAGCGACCACCTCTCGCTGAACTTTGCCACCAATATTAGCCCTAGTAAAAAGGCTAAACAGCGGAAACATACGAGACTGCCAGAAAGCTAACTTCGAAGCAACAAATAATGAGCTAATAACTCGCTTTTACAATGATTTTCTTAGAGATTTTGAATCTCATTCCATTCAACCTAACTGAAACCTGTTCGAACTGACCGAGAAGTACATTCCTAATTGCACATTCGTTTCCAATCCTCAAGCACTGTGGTATTCCAGTCATCTAAAACTCCTATGTAATTGCAAAAAGAGTTTCTTTTGTTTAACCACAAGGTTGCCTTCACCATCATGCTCGACAACTTACAAATTTGCTGCAAACACCTACTTAAGAGCTCTAAAGACTGCTAAAGACAACTACCTAACTAGAGCACTACCTGAAATGCTAAAAACTAACCCTAGAAAGTTTTGGCAAATGATTAGCCCAACCACTAGCAACACTATATCACTATAAGATTCATCTGAAAATAGTATGCCTAATAACATGTGCACATCAGTTATTAATGAATCATTTACAACCCAGTTCTCTAATTCCAGTAACATCAAACTCCCTTATGCGCATCAATATAATTAAATGCCAATGAATCCCGTGATCATCGAGGTACCTGGAATTTTGAAGCTAATAGATAACTTATTATTCCACTCTGCTACTGACAATGATGGCATTAATGCCGAATTCCTTGAAAGTACTAATGTAGTTAGTTTTATGATACTAAGTAAAATATTTTAACAATCATTGAGTACTTGTAAACTTCCAAGGGAATGAAACATAGGGAAGGTGGTTCTAATTTATGCCAACTCATATCACTACCAATAAATAGTTCCAAATTACTAGAACATGTAATCTTCACAAATCTCACTAACTTTTTAGAGTCTAACTCATAGGTACGTTGCTAAAGCGCAACATGGTTTTAGAAAATGGTACTCCTGCGAAACAGAGCTTGCTTCTTTCGCTCATCATCTGCCTCAAATTTTGGATTGATCATCTTGTGCTGACAGTATTTTTTTAGATTTTAGCAAAGTATTTGACAAGGTTCGCCATAAATTACTGCTTTTGAAACTAAGCTTGCTAAATGTCGATGCTACCTTTCTTCAATGAATCGTGCATTTTCTCCCTAATTGCTTCCAATTCGTAACTGCTAATGACCATCATTCACCACTCACTGAAGTACAGTCAGGTGTGCCTCAAGGTTCACTGTTGAGACCTTTATTATTTCTTGTATATATTAATGATCTAACTTCTTCAATATCTCCTAACATACGTCTGTTCGCAGATGACTGTGTTATCGACCACAATATTACCAATGCTGATGATACTAAAACACTTCAAGCTATCCTAAATAATATAGACAACTAGTGCAATAATTGGTTAATAGAACCTAATATTAAGAAATGTGAAAGAATGCATGTATCCAGAACTAACTCGAATCAGAACACCTACCATCTAAGCAATATTCTCGTAGATTCCATCATCTCCTATAAATATCTTGGTGTGCACATCACAAATAACTTGAGTTGGAAAATTCATGTAGAGTACGTCATTGACAATGCTAATCACATGCTCGGCTACTTACGATGTAACTTCTCCGAAGTACACTCTTCTTTAAAACTAATACTTTATAGGTCTCTCTTACGCCCTGAACTCAAGTATGCATCTGCCATATGGGATCCCAGTCATGCTAACTTTATCACCTTTCTTGAACTAGTGCGAAATAACTCTGCTAGGTTCATCATCTCTAACTATAACTACACTGCAAGTATAACCTCAATGAAAAATAACTCATCACTTATTTCAATCGCTCACTGATGAAACATCACCAATTTTTCACTGTTTCATAAAATTTTCTTTCATCCAACACTTAATGATTACCTCATACTCTATCCTCTGTGAATCTCAAACCGTATTGATCATCGTAGTAAGGTAGAAATCGCATCATGTCACACTAATTTTTTCTTTCAGTCATTTATTTCTCTTACATCTAAAGATTGGAATGACCTTCCCTCAAGTGTCACAATCATCACAGACTGCAAACTTTTTCACGAAACATTAGCTGACATTGTATAACCAGAAATCTGTTACCTGTACTAATTGCTCTAGTTTATTTTATTTTTTTCTTGAACTAACTACTATTTCGGTATAATCAGGAGAAATGCTGATGTTAATTTAGTTCACTACACTATCTTATTTTTATTTTTCATGCAATTACCCGCTCCTCTCTTAAATGCCTTTCTGACCTAGGGTTATTTAAATGAATAAATAATAAATGAATTTCTCCTGAATTTCTGGAATTCACACTGGCTCTACAAGAGCTCACTTCGTTAGTCTCACCAGTTACATTACATATTCTTTATTTCTATGTTTCTCACTTAACGCAAATGCACTCAAACCTCATTGAAAAAAAGTTGTATCTTACAAGAAAATAAATTCATGAAAATTCATTATAAAGGTTATTTCTAACAGTGTATCTATTGCAAGACTATATTTTATTTATTTCATTATAACAAATATTTTGTTATATTCATGTTTATTACATTGAAATTTAAGTGTATTGGTTCTCAAATCTTACATGCAATCCATTTTTTAGTGACAGCTCATTTATATTTTAATCTGGCTCATTTGGGTTCCAGTTCATAAGGAATTAGTTATGAATTAGATGGCAGATAGCTTGATAAAAATGGGCCTTCAGCCCAGTTGTTACTTCCCATAAATGTAACTGCAGCGAAATTATGGACACATGCAACTAGAAGGAATTTCTCAGGCTTGTGTAAATAGTAAATTTTAAGTTTGAAGCAAATTCAAAGCAAATAGTTATTTGGTTCAAATAATGGTGAATCAAATTTGAATAGTATATATTGCATATTACAAAAAAATGAGCATATTTGTTGTGACCAAAATAATCCTCACAATATTTTTTTTAATTGAAGGAAGGTATGTGCAAATTACATTCTTTTTGGTTTAAAGAAAGTACAAGCATTTTTGAATATAGTAGCAGGATTTGAATCTTTATGGAATGCAAGTATATTTGCATATTTGGTTTGGTCTCAAATATATTTGGTTTTAAAATTTGCTGTACTTAGGACCTATAGGCCATTATAACAAGCATTTAAAAAAAAGAATGAATGTGAGAATATTATGTTCATTTAACCTTGAAGTGAAGTAATGCATGTTGTTGGGCTAGTTGGCAAATAAGTTTTGAAGAGATGTTTAGAGTGTCAGAGTAAGGCAACACACTGCACACATAGATCATATACACACAAAGCAAAGGTTCATCGAGGTGATGGCAGAGTAAGTCGCACTTGTTGCCAAAGAAACTCTGCACTTGTCAAAGAAACGCTGCATGTACGTGTTCTGTGTGTTTAATGAGTTGTCTTAATTGCATAAGTTCATACATGTCTTGAAGTGACGCTTTGTGACAGTGCAAAACTTTTTTGGGACGGTAAATGTATTCATGGTATAGCCTCCTCCACTGCAGTGACACCACATGAGGAAGGGGGGAGGGAGTTGCATGCAGATTAATATGCACCTATTTGTTAATTTCGAATAATATAAATTCAAATAGAGCCGAACTCGAACATGTAGTTATTTGTTCAAATATTAGAATTGCTCTAATATTTGCAGAAGCCGAGAATTTTTTTATTCAGTTTCAACTAATTTAAGATTTTAAGATTTTTTTTTAATTTGAAAAAGTGTAGCAGCCTTTGTCCACTTATTTTGTCA